GTAGCGGAGGGGGCGTCGGGAACGGGCGTTGCTGGGGGGTCTGGCGGGAAGGCAGCGGAACAGTGACCATGACCGCGTCCGCTGGCGGCAGCAGGCGGGGCGCTGCACAAATGCAAAGGCGTCCGCGCGCCCCTGCCACGGCCGTACATTTTCACGCGCGCGCACCCGCAGTCATGCACACACATGCTCCAACCCCCATGCGTAATCATGGCTCCTCCCCACACATGCACCCACATGCACACATGCACACATGCACGCACATGTGCACTCACGCACATTTCCACCCACATGCATACACACATGTCAACATGACACGCCCACCCCAGCCCACCCCCCCACACACACACACCTTCCGGATGTAGGGGCCCGCGAAGACATCGAAGTCCTGGGGGCTCAGGTGGCTGGCCCAGCTGTCAAAGATCTGGACAGCCTGCAGTTCAAAATTTCGAACAACGTGTTCACGAGGAGGAGGGGGGGATTAACGTCAGCAGCCATAATGCGAGCGACTAGGCGTGCGTCGAGCGGGGCCGTGCCTGCCGCGAGCGGCCGTGCGCCCGGCAGCTGTTCCGAAAGCGGCGCGCGGACCAGCCATAAGGGCACCCTTCGCGGCACCCTTGGACAACCCTGCGCCGCGTCCCCCTGCCCCCCTCCCCCCTAACACACAAAAATCAACTGCGGGCGGCCTGCCCCCTGACTCTGGGGGCTTCAGGGAGTTTCAGGGAGTTACCAACCCTCGGAGTTACCAACCCTGGGTGCACGCGCACCTGGGCGCCCGCGTCGGCCTGGTAGCGCACGTAGTCGGCCACGTTGTCCGCCAGCTTGTCCAGCAGGGCGTGGAGCACCTGGCGGTTGAAAGGCGGTTGGGGTTGGTTGGGGTTGGTTGGGGTGGTTCAGGGCCGCGATTTTGTGTGTGGCGCCCAGCGATTCGCACCGGCCGGCGGCGCTCAGGCGGCCATCCCTCCAAACTGAGCGCGCGCCGTGGCTGCCAGGCCGCCGGCAGCGAGGGAGGGCGGAGGGCGTGCTCAGGCTCGGCCCTGGCTTTCCCTCAGGTGCGCACCTCGGGCTGCGCGAAGGCCATGCGCTTGGTGTGGGCGAAGGACTTGCTGGAGCCGCCCTCGATGACGTAGGTGGCGAGGGTGAAGGGCGCGCCCACAAAGCCCAGCACGGTCGACTGGTTGCCGACCTGCGGGGGGGGGGGGGGTTCATAACCAAGAGGTCGCGGGGTCGAGCCCGGCAGGCGGAACTTTTTTTGATGTTGCACGGCGTAGGGGAGCAAGGAGCTGGGTGCGCCCGTGCTGCCGGCAGGGCCTGGCGCATAGGGAGACCCAGCAGCCGCGCAGCCGCAGGGCCCAGGCATCGCGGCACGGCTGTTGCTTCACCCGTCCTTCGTAAGGATGGAGTTTATTTTTAGGGGGTGTTGCGGGCGCGCACCTCCTGGCGCAGGATGCGGAGGGACTCGCCCACGAAGGGGCAGGACTCCTCGGCCTGCAGCTTGGTGATCTGCTTGACCTGCTCCAGGGTGCGGATGGGGTTGTCGATGACGGGGCCCTTGCCCTGGGGGGGGGGAGGGAAGGGAGCAGGCAGCGTGTTCAGTGTATGTGATTTGAGAGGGAGCGAGTGTGTGTGAGTGTGTGATTGTGAGTATGTGAGCGTGCGCAAGAGGGACAAGAGGAACGCATGGTGTCGCGATGGGCATGTAGGCAACAGGGAGGGGTGTGCATGGGGTTCGGAAGGGTGCAGGGGAGCGGGGAGCGCACAAAGGCAGCCCAGTAGTGTCGAAGGCAGCGGGCGCGACAAGGGGGGGACCAAGGGCCCATCGGCCGGGCCGGGGCCACGATACGAGTGGCGTGTGCGGCGCACTGGGGCGGGGCAGGGCGGGGGGATGTTCGCTGTGGGATCCGACAGCCATTGGGTGTGTGCATCACTGATGCCCTCAGGCTGGTGCCAGCTTTTATCGTCATATCCCGCGCGGGGCCAAGAGGAGCGGGGGCACGGGGCCCGGGGCCTGATACGCGCGTGGCCGCCTGCACACAAACAAGCGCAGCGCTTGTAGGGCAGCCAAGCAGTGACCACTCGCCGCCCATGGCAAGCACCCTGGCAGGTCCTTCCGCGGCGTGTCCGCCTGCAAACTTGCGCCAACACCACACCCCTCATGACCCACGACCGCCGCCCCAGCTCCGCGTCCACAACACGAGCCCCGGCATGACCGGTCCAGCGGCGGTCAAACGCCCACACGCGAGACGTCTGCTGGGGCCGGCCGCGGGGGGCCGCATTTGCACACAGTGATTCAACAATTATTAAAAATGTCACTAGCTTTCAGCTCAAATTATCGTGCCGCTGTGCTAATTCTCACTGTGAGGATGTCGAAGGGGATGTTCATGCCGGCCAGCGGCGTGAGGATGTCGCTGAACAGGATCACGCCGTCGGGCTTGAACGCGCGCCACGGCTGCAGGGACACCTCCACCTGCAAGTCGAGCGGGATTGTGTGGGTGCAGCGCGGAGGGGGTGGGCGCGAGACATGGAAGCGTGCGCGGGCCGGGGCCGGGCGCCGTGAAGCTTGAGAGTATTGAGGGCTGTGCTGAGGGCCGGGCCCGTGGCCCGTGGCGGGGGTGCTCGAGGCGGGGGTCGTTCGGCGAGCGCCTGTCCGCTCATCATCAGAGCAGTCCGTATCACAGTCATTGGTATCTGTGTTCCACGGCTCTTCGCGTCGGTGGCAAACTGTCTGCCAAAGTATCTGGGGGTCAAATCATCTGAAAAAGCGCCCACCGCGAGGTCGACGTTCTCGGAGCGCTCCCTGAAGGTGGTGTGCTTCTTGCAGAGCTCTTGGTACACCTGCCATTGGATAAGACAGGAAAACGATGCGAATATGGATATGGAGTAGACTGGAATCCAGCTTATTGTAAATCAGTGGGTTGCTTACAGCTGACGCCATGGGCCGGCGGCGCCGGCCCCGCGGCGCGGGCGGCGTCGGAGGTTGCGGGCTGGGCCGTACGGGAGCGGCGCCGCGGGAGGGCCGCTGGGGGCGTCCGGGCGCGGGGCGGCCCGCGGCGCGGCGGCGGAGGGGCGCCCGCGGCTGCGGCCGC